AGCGGCCCCAGCCGCTCCGCGGCATGTGGGATCTTCCCAGACTGGGGCGCGACCCCGTGTCCCCTGCATCGGCGGGCGGACCCTCAACCACTGCGCCACCCGGGAAGCCCCGAAGGCTCTTCTTATAATTTCTTTCAAGAGTCATAGAAAGCTGGATCCCGAGCTTTTGAATCCTTAATAAGCCTAAGTAGAAATTAGCTTTCTATGGGAGTTCCGTAGTTTTCATGGTTGGTGATTAGGCTCCTGTTCACTCCTAATGTGGACAGGACAAAAGTAAATGCATAGATAATATACCGCTAGTCATAGAACATGTTGATTACACCTGAAATGGATTATTTCTCTCATCAGCAAGTATTATTTGAATAAAATATGAGATGCTTAAGGTGCAGTGTTGCTCTATCATAAGTTACTTTTGAAGGACGCAATGGTAACTATTTCTTTCCATTCTTCTTCCTTTTCAGAGAGGAAAGAGCATTAACTGATCATCTTGAAAGTACATTTCTGATTGTACGTTGACTAGTGTTCTGCCCCTGTGCATGTGGACTAGTGATGCAATTTGTAAAATGAAGATTCAGGAGTAGCTCATAGCCTTGAATCCAACCGGATATGTAAGATCTTTAGATTCTGTACCCTTGAAGCAATTCTGCCGCTTGATAAAATTCTCAAGGGCCCTAACAGCCTCCTTTAGAAAGACCAATTCTGTTCCTAGAATTTACCTAGAATGCATTCTTCACTGGGGAAAAATAAATGCCAAGAGCGTTTCCCTCCCAATCTCACTCACAAATCTGCAAAATTATTAGCGGTTAGTAGCCCAAGGTCTGGCCAAAAGAAGACTTGTAAATAGCGTCAAGTAATGTCTCCTCACTAAACAGTGGAATGTACAGATAGAAAAGCTCTTTGAAATTGCCAGATCAGCTCAGCTTATAAGCCTGAGTTTAAAAAGGCGTCATTCTCCCTCCACACCTTAATACTGTACAGTCCAAACCCCTAGGACTCATGAACATCCAAGCAGTTTTGTGCTTTGAGCCAATTTTTTAGAAAAATGGCTCCATTTTTCCACTCTGCGGTTTTCTTAAAATAGCTCAGTGTTTTCTGGTCTCCGAGTAGTGTTGCTTTCTAAGCTATCACAGTTGACTTTATTCTTCTACTCTGAAAAATTCTGACTTGTTTGAGTGTATATAATATATATAAAGGGAGCCTTAATTGATTTGTTTTCATAATTTAATATTTTTTGTATTTGCTCTTGTATAATTGTTTTTAATGGAAAGTATTACAGAATTGAGGGTGGAATTCTTAGAACCAAAGTTATTCTTAATAAAAATCACCACACGCTTGGACCATGCATCCGTGTTTGGCTGATGTGTTTAAGACGGATGTGTGGAATTGGAGGGGAGTGGGTGCTGTGCTCAATTCAAGGATTAGAAGGTGGTTCGAGGGTTTCCCTCTGATGGCCTTCCCCCCAAATCAGTTATGTCCTCTTGCCTTGTGTCAGTCAAGGCTGGCGATTTATTCTGTCAAGCAAATTCATGCTAAGATATTATGCTACACCTTGCTTAGAATATATGGTATTTTGGCAACGGCCATCCGTTCTACAGATCAAAGTATTCTGAATTTTAGGTAGCTTGGTAGGACAGTGGGAGATATATTTTGGGAAGGGCTGTTTTTTAGTGCTTGTGAGCACGCATGACATGTCATAAGTGTGACCGTGAAATTATTTTGCTTATTCAGCTAAATTAATTCCATCCTCAAAAGAAGTCACTTTGGGAAGCTGTACACATGACTGCATTGTACTGTTGGTAGAAATAGCTTTTGGACCGTGAAGTCTCTATACTTTGTCCTTATTTTCCAACCCCAAATTACTACTCAGCTTAGTCACCCAACTCCTAATGTCTTTGGACTCTTTTGAAAAATTAAATCTACTCAGAGCAGTGAAGATTTGCTATGTCTAGGGTTATACCATGAACTCCAAAGGCCAAGGAAGAAGGTGGGCTCCAAAAATAATTTGAAGAGTGGCTACATCCTTGGAATAACAAGGCGATTTTCCAAGGTGACAGTTTTGAGGCTGTCAGTCCATTTCATTGGACCACTGTATGTTCCCTACAATAGTAGTTAGTCATAGACTTGAAAGAAGACAGAGGTCAATTAATATGTTTGGTAAGACTTACAGTACAGCTAAAAGAAGTATAAGAATACTACTTCCAGGCTTACATTTACTAGTATAATGAAAAATGAAGTCTTTTACTCTAAGGTTTTAGGGTAAATAAAATCTTCATGAGCTAGCCTCACAGTCTCACAATTATAATTTCTACTTTTTTTTTCCCAGGTGAGAAAATGGAGTCTGATTATCAATTGGGGATGTTTTGGAACATCTTCCCACTTGCCCTTAGATTTCCCAGCAAGATGGTAATGCCAAGCAGAGTCTGGTATGCCTTATTGATATCTTATATAATTAGTAGGATCATACTGAGAATTTTTTCTACTAAGAATCATCAAGTGAATTCTTTGAGACATTTGGCTCTGTACTGTCTTGAACACACTGTTGTGTCCTTTTAAATTTGTTATTTCTATGCTCATGCCTCCTTTTCCACTTGGTTATTATGTGTGACCACTGCTGATGATTACTCTTCTGTGCTATAGTTTCCAGTGTGAACCAACAAACCCAATTGTCTATCAGCTGGTGAATGGATAAGCAAAATATGGTATGTCCATGCAATGGAATATTATTCAGCCATGAAAAGGAACATAGTACTTATACATGCTTCAGTATGAACAAACCTCAGAAACATGCTAAATGAAAAGAGGCAGACACAAAAGACACGTAGTGAACAGTTACATCCATATGCAATGTCCAGAGTAGATAGAACTATAGGGACAGAAAGCGGAATAGTGGTTGCCTAGGGCTGGGGGTGGGTATGGTGAATGACTGCAAATGGGCATGAGGTTTCTTTTGGGGGTGATAGAAATGACTTAAAATAAAATTGTGGTGATAGTCATACAACTCTTTAAATATACTAGTAATCATATAAACATAAATCTACCAATACCTTGAGATGGGTAACTTTTATGGGATGTGAGTTATACCTCAGTCAAGCTTTTAAAAATGTACATATCTTTTGAATGCACAATTAGATTTCCAGGAATTTGGCCTTCAGAAGTATTTATCTGCACAAAGATTGTTGTTCAGAGATATTGCAACATTTCTCATAATTTCTCAACCCAACTATATTTTAGTACTTTACTAGATTGAGTATAATACATCTGTATTCCTTATTATGGACAATAATGCATATCTTTTAAAATAATTAGGTATTGTTATTTTATTTTACAGAAATAAGACTTCGAAGCTATACTATTATATAAAAAAGCAAGCTACAGAACAACACATGTAATATAATCCCATTTACATGAAAAAATTAAAAGTGTATCCATACATCTATATAAATGCTCATGGATAAGACTGGACGTTTACCTATCATGTAAACAGTGGTCACTTCTGGGGAAGGGAAAGGAATTGGGGTCAGAAATAAAGGGGGGGATTCCTAGTTTAATTTGTGTATTTTTATATTTTTAATAATTTTACACAATTAAAATGTGTTCTTGACCTACCAGTGTTTAAAAGGGCATAAGAAGCAAAGAAAAAGCTTGGAAAAAAAAATGTGTGCTTCATACAAAATCATCTCTTAAACATTAAATGATATTCATGTCATAATTATTTATGCGTTGAGCGCATGTATGGTGAAAAATTACAACAGAATGATTTCAGCATTTCCAAAAAGCAAAGTAAAAGTGAATCCGTTTTAAGAAACTGTCAAGAATCCAATTATTTTAAGCACACAGACCTGTAATTGAAGCAGAATCAAAGGAAAAGAGGAGCCAGGGAAGGAATAAAGAGAAGCAAGGACTCCAGAATGGCAGTGAGGAACATATCAATTCTTTGCCGGCCCCCCAGTGATGAACCAGAGACCTAAGCTGGGGCTCCTTGTAAGAGATCCAGTTGTAGGCTTCACCATGAAAACAACTCTGCCCTTTAAATGTTTCCTCTGCTACTGGAATTTAAGGTAGTGTGGCTACAATATCAGTTTTTCCTACTGTGGTTTTTGTTGGCTGAGGTCAAGGGGACTGGAAACGTGGGGACATGCAGCTTGGTAATGAATTACTGATACCCTGTGCACACAGTGCCTTGGGGGAGCTTTAGGTTGGCCTGTCACAGTCTTCTTGGCATGTATTCTCTCTTGGATGATAGTGAAACTTCTGTCTACC